CAGAAGTGCTGTAGTCCAGAGTCAGGGATTCTGGGCCTGGCACTAAGGGCTCTCTTTGCTTCTTCTGCCTCAAGCTTTGTTCTCTGTTGTTTGCTGTCTCAGCTGGTGCATGAACTGGGGATGTCCACATCTCTTTAGGTGGATCTTTAAGGCTTTGTGTCCTCTGCAAATCAGCTCTGAGTGGATCCTAGGATATGCATCAACCAATGTGCTCTATGTCAGTGGTTAATGGTAATAATCCATGGGTAGGATTAATTAATGGCTGTTTTTAAGACAGAGCCAGAGAGGGAGTCCTGGAAAGGAACAGAGAAGTGTATTATTGAGTTACATTGTTGTAATGATTTTCCTAGTCAGCAAGGGGAAACAGGTCATGTTCCAGCTGTGCGAACACCTGGTTGGCAGCTGCAGGGAGGAATTCCTGTCTGGCTCATGATGCTTTCTGCTGCGGGTGTCTATCCAGGCATGTGCCTCAGGCAGCTCTTGCACTGCTTATTGCAACTGTGGCAGTTTCTGGCAGGAAACAGCCAGAACAGCTCCCCCAGACCATCTAGTATGGGGTTCCCCAAGCTCAGAAGGGCTCACTGGTCTTTGTGTGTCTATGGGGTCACAAGGAACTGCAGGTCCCAGCCAGGCAGAGTTGCCAGATGGGAGGGACTGAAATGGAGCACGGCCTGCAGAGCCCAGCAGTTTGTGTAACCTGTATCTTCTACTGAACTCCCAAGTTAGGGGTGGCCTCAGGCTTCTGAAAGCTGATGAAGCAGACATGATCAGGCAAGCCTGGCATCACTCCAGGTCCAAAGCCCAGAGTAAGCCTTGGAAATGCAGTTCCCAAACCACATTCCTTCCCAAGACCCAGGTTAGACTTGGAGCTCTTCTCCCCCTGGGCTTGAACTGGGAGCACTGTTGACCCCAGAAGCCTCTTTTCTCTTACAGAGGACACTGAACTGAGGGACGTGACTGCAGTCTTGTTTGTGCCGAGCTCTCCTGCTCCCTCCACACCTAATGGAGCTGACACTATATTGCCATTTTTATTGGCCTGGCTGGCAATTTTTCAGGTGCTAGGTGTGTTTATGATAGTCAGGGTCACACCTCAATTAGGAATGGGGAGAGGGATTTTAAACATACCCACACCTTACCCTTCCTCCTCCAGCTTTTGCAGGTGGAAAGGGATTGTGAGGTGCATGGCTTGAATTCCCAAACTGGTTGGTGATATCGGCACTCAGCCTTTTGAGGGGACTGGCCAGCCTGGCACACAGAACTGCCTGGCTCAGCAGTGCCACGTTGCTGAACCATCCCTGCTGCCTCCTGTACACAACTATCTGTGCCTGTGTGTGCACTTGCAAGTTTAATAGCAGCAATAGTTGCTTTTGTCAGAGATGTGAGCCATAAAACTTGTTTGCCAGTCGTGTTTTTTTTTCCTTCCCCACTGAGATATGAAAGCTGTGGAAAAGGCTCCAAAGCGTGTTGGCGATCCCAGATGAAGATTATATAAGGAATATTAAAAGAATGCATTTCATAGTGGCCAGAGGACCTAAAAATACCACTTTCACAGCCTGGACATTGTGAAAAGATCTCGCAGCTGGAGATACTGCTTTCCAGGAAACCATCCTTAGTCTAGGTTGCAAGCACATAAGACGACAGTAAAAAGCTCTTGTGTCCAAAAACAACATAAGGAAGTTGTCTTAAAAGCTGATACTAGTTGTCCCTACAACAGCCATCTTCTGTGACATGGGACGTTGCCTGTGGGCTCCAGGGAGTCCAGCAGGATAAAACAGAGCCCATCAGTGGCAAGACCTGTGTCTCAGGGTGATTCCAGGCTGGAGTGGCAGAAGAGATGAGGGTTGAGACAGAATGCCACTTAAGGGCAAGGCTGTCACTGGGGGTAGCGTGTGGGGTTCTTTGCAAGGGAGCTGAATCCAGCACTAAGAAACTTCCTGTAGGGACTGCACTGATTTAAGATTAACCAAGTAAAGGGCAACCTTGATAGAGAAGTTAATGGGAAGAAATCCAGAAGACTTTATTACTTCAAAGATTTGATATTATATGGAGATTTTAGGGGTTATACCCAGGTAAGACCAACTGTGGGTCAGAGTACTCCTGTGGCAGGCAGAGGAGCCCTGTTTTTCACTCCACACTAAAGAGAAGGAACCAACTTCCTTTGACTGGACTCACAACTTGGACACTGTGTCCATAACACATGTCCAAGTTCTGCCTCTGCTGACCTTGCTCAGGCATTCAGTGATGGCATCAAGGCTCCAGATCATCGTAGGTGCACACATAGTAAGGACATGTTGTCTGAGTTCTGTCCTGTTCTGCAGAGTCCTTGGCCCCAGAGTGGAAGCAGGCTCTATCTGCTGTCTCCACACAGTGCTCAAGCACAGTCTGAATCTCATCCCTGCATCTTACACCTGCTGAGAGTTTTTACCAGCACTCTGGATGTGCAAGTGGGATGGAAGATCAGGCTGCTTCTCATCCCTCATACCTGGGATGAGACTGCCCACCTCATTTCACATGGAGGGCAGGACATGGGCGAACATGAGGGGCATCTCCTGCAGATCACAGCTGAAAATGCTGGATGTTGTTCCTCCCCAGATACCTAATCTTTACAGCCATCTAGACCTCTCTCCCCTCTTCGTGTTATCTTCCTGGGCATGCTACAGCTGAGAGCAGGCTCCCGTGATCAGAGGAGCAGGTCATTAAGAGCCTTCTCTAATTGTTGGTGTATTTCTTCACCTTTACAACCAGTGACAAATTGACTTTCACTTTATCATCTTCTGGTGCCCTGTGGGCTAAGTCTGCCTTTGGCTGCACCTGTGCAGCAGGTTGGCTGTGTGTGAAGCAGAGCAGAATCATCACCACAAAGTACTCAGAAGTTACCTTTGAAATACAAGAGGGACTTAAAAATGAACATGTTCAAAATGCTAATATAACATATTTTGGCTTCCTTTGCTTGACTTTCAGAGTGTGGTTACTTCAGGTCTTTAGTCTCTCTGGAATCACAAAAGAAAATATTTATTCTTCATGTTTGTTTTTCTTTTAATGAAACTTGGGATTGTTATTCAATATTATGACTCCACCACAGGTGGCTTCAGGACAGACATCAGCTAACATGAGGCTTACCAGGAAACAGTGACAGCTGGCAACAGCATCAAACACTTGTTTGGGCTTTTTCCTCAAAGCACAGATGCTTTGTGCTCAGACCAACAAGGAGGTGAGCCCCTTGATTTAAAATAAATCCTCCCAGAAGAAAGAAATCCATCTGTCTGGGAAAAGTTAGAAAATATTTTTGCATTTATTTCTTTTTTTTTCTTTTTTCTTTTTTTTAAATGAATACAAACTCTAGTGAAGAAATATTCCTCTGTTTCCATTGGAAGGCAGTAACCAGCAAAAATTAATGTACAGTATTGAGGAATGCTTGGTGCAAATGGACCAAAAAGGGTTCCCCACAGAGTATCTCTAAGTACAGGAAAAAAAAAGGTGCTGCAGTTGGAAAAGACAGCCTGGTTATCACAGGGTTGTTTGGGTTGGGTTTTTTTCTTGCATTTAATCTCCCAATTATAAATAATCAATGTGATTTACAAAATAATTTACAGAAAATGATTGGATTCATCATTGCAATAAATTACTGGGTACTCTGCCACCAGCCTGCAGAGGGGATCCAACACTTCTGGCACCCTTAGCACAGGGAAAGGTGGTTCATCTTTGCTTTGGGGATCAAGGGCCAGACCTGCTGCTCCTCTGGCTGGACTGGCTCAGATTCCTCCCCACCAGGGACCTCTTGTGGTTCCATCAGCCCCATCCTTCTGAGAGGCCAGCACCCCACACAGTCCATGGTTAGTGGGAGCTGCTGTGGGTGGTGCTGCCAAAAATGGCTGGAGCCTGGAGCGGTGCAGCCAGAGAGGTGAGTGCAGGGGGCTCCTGGTTCAGCTGTAAACCAAAGGTCAGGCCTGTGGGCTTGTGGCACAGGGAAATGGAGATGGGAGGGAGCAGGGTGGGTGGGCAGGAGCAGACCCAAGGCTGGGGCAGACCCAACGGGCTTGGGTGAGACAGGGTTTTTGCTTGAACTCTGTTCTTTGCAGGACTCGAAGCCTTGTGGTATTGAGATTGCTGCTCTCCAACCCTCTGGGGTCTGAAGGAGCCATAACAAATTCTGATTGGTGTTACCTACAAAGCTGTTATCAGCCACTCACTCTAAGCTGAAGGAGTGGCACTGGACTGGACAGGTAGATTATATGGGATATCTCAGCTTTAAAGCTGGGTCTGACCTCTGATCCTGGGTGACAATGCTTCCAGCATGTGGGCAGCTCAAGGCTTTGGTCCATCCTGCAAGGCTTGGGGTTTTCTTGCCCTCACAGGTCCCTCCATATCATACATCCTCCCCACCCTGCTTCCTTCTAAATAGGCATCCAGTGGTCTTCTCCTGACCACTGAGAAGCAGTAGTGGGGCTGATGATGTTTTGGGCAGTGCTGCTCATAGCCAGCCTGTGCAGGGGTGAGTGACCCCATCCCATGAGCTGAAATCTCCTGAATCCCGTGGTCTCTCAAATTCCCAGTCCAGGTAGACAGGAGGCAGTAGCAGTGTAGGGGAAGAACTTGGCAGTGGTTATCTCTCTGAGCCTTGTGGTTGGAGAGCAGTTATGGCACAGAAACAGTAAAACCCCTCAAAAGGCAGAAGGATCCAAATAGTGGAGAATCCTGGTGGGCCAGAGTTTGCACCAGTATCAGCTAAAACAATCTCTTAGAGCTGGCTGTGAAGGTTAGCTTTTTGGATGGGGACACCATGCAAAGACCTGGGACTAGTAAAGGCTGAGGAGCAGTTCTGCCAGTGCTGCCTGAGCAAAACCCATGTGCTTCACCTGCTGCAATGCTCCCAGGGGAGCGTCCATGTCTGTCAAGTTTGGCTGGACTGAGAGCTGTCTGGGGAGCTGGTGTGGCTGTGGGAGGGAAGCTCTCTATTGACACAGCTCAGAGAATTGCTTCTTCACAGGGTCTGGTCTGACTGTCCCCAGCCAGTCCCTGCAACCTCCCTACAAAGGAAGGTGGAAATCTGGCTCTTCTTACAGGGACTGAGGGTTTCAGTTAGGCTTCAGCCTTAGTTCTGGGACTCAGGGCTGCCCGTGGGACAAGGTGTCCACAGCAGGAAGACAGCTTTTGGTAGTGGTGGTCTAGTCCAATAAGCAAGTCTGTGTGTTTGCACCCAAGGACCTCTGGATGGCTTTTCTTTTCACAGTGACAGAGTCAGTTTGGGCTTTTCTCCAACACGGTCTTTTAAACGAGGCCAGCTGCTCTTCAGATTGCTAGATGACCTCCTGTTTTGTGATGGCAGGTTGTGGGATGGAGGTGGGCTGTTTTGCCACAGTGGCAATGGCCCCAGGCAGCAGCTTGTATTGCTCTGCTCCTGAGCCCGCAGGTGGAGATGGCTGTGGAGTTTCTGGAGTAGCTACAGAGAGAGAAACAAAATTAGAAGAGGACCTCACAGACCTGACAGCACTGGGATCTGTCCTCAGTTGTGCAAGGTTCAGGTGTAAGCAAGGTAGAGGCTTTGTAGCAAAACCACAGCTCCAGATGGCTTGTGTGTTTGCTGCAAGGCAGCCTGGAGACACAAGCATGGTTACATGTCCTGGAAGATCCACGATAGCAAACATTGAGTGAGGGGAGCTACTGGCATTTTGACCTGTACTGGCCACTTTTTGGTCAGCTGAGGTCATCTCAGCCCAAATTCTCAAGTGGTGGCCCTATATGGTCGACCACATTCTCTTGTGCTTTTGTAGATGGCAAAGTGAGGTGTGTCTGAACCTTTCAAGGGAAGGGAAGCCTTTCCACTGATTTCAGTAGGCACTGGATGGGATCATTCATACCTGAATTTAAGAGTTATGGAAAAGTTAGAGTCTGCCAGGGAACATGCTGTTGAATCAGTCTAGCCTAATCTAATCTAATCCACCTCTGTGTCTTTCCCTCCTTTCTGCAGAGGAATTTCTCATACATTCATTATCAGAGACTCTGTCTTGCATGGACATTTCCTTGCAAGGGTAGAAACCACCTCCACAGGCATGCTGGAAAGCTGCTGGGAGCTCTCAGTCTGGCAATACTCACACATCTGCCCGTTGTGCATCTGAGGAGGCATTGTGTTGGCCACAATGACATTTGTTCCCAGGTTGTTCTCCTGGATCAGGTGAGGGTGCAGGGGGTGGTGAGTGTGCGGTGTTTCACTTGATGAGCCTAAAAATGTGCATATGACATCAGTTGCCATGATGACAGAAGGAGACAGTTCAGATGGGTAGACCCACTGCACCAAAATACCCAAGGCTTTGGGTGTGATCAGCTTGTGCTTATGTGATTGGAGCACACCCTTCCCCACATCCTCCATGGTTTTCCTTGGGCTTACTAACCCCTCCCTGCTGCCTGCATCTCCCCTTAGATGGGATTACACAACCTCTTGGGTCACATCTCCACGTAAAGAATATTACACAAAGAAGTGTCAGCTTCTCATTTTGTTTTGTCCCATTGGATGTTCCCAGTAGAAAATCTGGGACACACTTTCAACCTGACCCTTCAGACCCTTTTGTTTTGATGACTCCCTTCTGGGACTGAGGAGGATGAGTGAAAGAGCTGCTGGTAGGATTTTAGTGATTGCATAGCAAAGCTTGGCCACGTGCAGAGAGCTGGGAATGCTTCTCTGCAAATAGATGCACAGCTTACACATCTCTTTTGGGGACCAGGAATGAGGACACTTCATCACCAGTGCCAATGACTGGGGGAGATGATTGTGTGTGAGTCAATGCCTAACCTGCATGCAAGCTACATCCACCTTTTTTTGGGTAGGCAGTGATGGCTGTGGAGGTTCTCAGAGGGATGGTGGTCAGGGAACGCGGAGAGGCCTCTCAGGACCCTCATACTCACCTCCCAGCAGCATCTCCTGGAGCAGGTTGTCAATCTTAGCCATGCCGAAGAGCTTGACAAACTGGATCTGTTCTATCATCTGCCAGGTGATGCTCTGCAGCACGGGCAGCAGCAGCAGCAGCTCCCCGAAGCGGCCCCGCGAGTCGTACTGCCGGTCGTTGATGTAGTCCTCCAGGCTGACCTGCACCTGGTACCGCATCCGCTTGATCTTGGAGGGGTCACTCAGTCCTTTGGCATCTGAAACAACCAACAGAGCAAACTATCCAGGCTGCTTCCCTCGGAGCTGCCCTTCAGTGGGAGCATGAAATCCAGGCACAGGCTGAGGTGACCTGTCTCTGATGACCACCTGCTGCCATGGGTGGCTTTTCTCTCTTTTGGCTGACTTCTCCCTCTAACAACAGTTTGGCCCAGAGAGGAGACCAGGCAGCATTTCCACAACTCAGTGTTGTCAGCATAACTCAGACTTAGCCCCCTTTGATGGTAACTGTCACTGAGCTGGAGCATACCTGGGTCAAAGAAGATGATGGCTTTCAAGCAGGCATATTCGTTGTCATCTATCTGCAGCTCCTGGAAGGGCAGGACCAACTCGTCCAGGATGCGGATGGCCACACGGTTCACCTCCACCAGCTCAGGGCAGTTCCGTGGGATGATGTGGTCATTTCCTTTGGACAAACACCACAAAGACCATCACCTTGTCATTGCCCAGGACTTCTCAAGGGTAGCAAGGAGTTCAAAACCCAGGTAACCAATGCGGAGATCATTTTGAGGAATGGATGAAGATGGAAGTAGTTCCTCCTTCTGCCCCTTTCCTGGCTCAGCCTGCCAAAAATGCTGATCTGGGTTGCCAGAGCAGCCCTCTTTACTCAGGAGTCACTCAAGCAAGGAGAAGCTGACTGTGGAGCAAGAGCCTTTTTCTCAGTCTCACCACAAAGCTGAGGGGACAATGTGAACTGTCACATTGTTCACAACCCAAAGGTTGTGCCAGGCTCACTAAAATACAGAAGAGATCAAGAAACCACCCTCCACAAAGGATGCCCACAAATGCTGAACCCCCCTCTCTCTCCTTCACCTTGACAGGGAAACTTTGTAGAAGCAGAGGGGACAGGAGCAAAAGTGCTCCATTTACCTAGCAGCAAGACATCCTTGAACACCATGGACCTCTTGGCAGCTCCCAGTAAGAGATGTTCTCCTGCATGTGCTCGCAGCAGTGCTACCTGCAAGGGCAGGGAAAAACTTTTTTGGTGATGCAGACAAAGACAAGCTGTGATTTCCCATCAGCAGGACAGAAAGCCCAGCATTCCTGTCCTGCTCTCGAGGATGGGGAGTGAGAGCCCCTCTCCAGTCACAGTAAGATGTAAAAAAATTGTTTACTCCTGTGCATATACAACTATAAATCCAGCAGAACCAGTAGATAATAGCACCCAAAACATCCCATATTTGTGCCACATGTCAGGACCAACATGTTGGACTGTCCAGGACCTCAGGTCAGCAGGTCACACTGGGCCACTTACAGATAAAGCGACCAAGAGCAGACGATGCTCCAGCCTGGGATGTGGGGAGAAGTACAATCTCCTGCTGTGACCAGTTGCTGTCCCACTGAAATAATGTTCAGGAGGGACCCACGTCCCCCCAGCTGCTGGGGTCACCCTCTGGCCATTCCTCCCCTCCACAGCAATGGGCATTTGGGCCAGGGAAGCCAAGGGGATGTTTTTCTGCCTTGACGTTAATGATTGAAGTGTTCCATTTTACACCCTCCAGTGGCTCCTGAGAATGTTCTGAATCTTCTGCCCTCCTTCAGTTAAAAATTTCAGAGATTTAGGGAGAAACAGAAGTTAACAATTGGACAGCCTGACACAGAGACTTCTTAATGTCCAGCCAGGAGCCTCTGCTGGAGAAAACAATCATTAAACATTAATGGAGAGGTACTGAAAAGTGTGCCCTGATGGGAATGGTCCCCTCTTTGTGTGTTATTGCTCAGCATCAGACAAAACCAAGAGAAGTCCTACCCTGCCAGAAATGCCAGGACAATGTATCACCTGTAGGATAGAGTTCTGGTTAGAAAAAATGCTGGTGCCTGAAAGAGGCTTTTGGGTTGTTTTTTTTTTGCAAAGGGTGAAAAAGAGTTATGCAAAATAAACAGAGTGGAGATCCTTGCAAAGACTACACACATGGTGCTGGGGAAGCTGTATCTATGTGCCCAAATCTAGCCTCTCTCTATCACCATCCAAACATAGATGAATGTGTTGGCTGAGCTGCTTGTAATTTCCAGAGCTGCACAAACCTGAGCTTTCCTGTCTGATGAGACTTGGAGAAGGACAGAAGAACTGAGTCCCAAGGGGGAGCAAAGCCCTCACTAAGACATTTCCTACCTAGTGCAAGTTCAAGAAAGCTCAGTTTGGAGCCACCATTTTTGCTTCCATAACATTTACTTGTTTGAGCAGGGTTAAAGTAAATTAGTTCCAACAAGACAAAACCATCTCATTTGATATTTTTTTGTGCAGTGATCAACCTGAGATACATCATTCCATTGTGAACTGGGATAAATATAAAAACTGTAACACAACAAAGTAAAACTTTAACTTTGAAATGGCTTTGCCCCACCAAACCCAGTGCTTTGACATTTTGGTGCAGAGGAAGAATGAGGGGTTAGATATGACCTTTCCTATAAAAATATTGGCAGAGATGATTCATTCTCAGGCAACATTTGAATGGCAACGTAACAGCATTTCCCAACTTTAAATATTCCCACTGGACATGTCTTGACTGGCTCTCATGCCCCTTGGGCAGCTGCTTTGCACATAGTTTTGCTCACTCCTGCTCCCTGGCATTTCTGTCCTTGCTCCTGCACTCCCCTAAGTATCTGCTGCCTCTTCTCACACTGTCCTTTGAAAGCACAGATGTCCTTAATTGAGTAGTTTTAATGCAGCCCAGTTTTTCATCTCCAGTCCTTTGGGACAGATTGGGAGCTGCTCATCATGGGAATGGCTGGTCATAACAGCAGACCTGTTTCAGTTGAGTGGAGCCTGTGGAGCATGCTGAGATCCCACCCCTGTGGGAAGGCAGGGTTCAGAGAGTGTCATCTTTAGGCTTTATTTTGTTCTTTGAGACATTTTGCAGCCCCGCTATTGTAAAATGAGCTCACGTGGGAATGGCTGTAGTTTGTGGAGTTATTAACCAGGGTTACTGCCTCTGTTCCAAAAGGCACAAGGATGCAGTGGGTCATGAGAGCTGCCCCAAGCCTCCATGGGCTGCAGCCTATTTGCTGTGTAAATGTTGTTTGCCACTGGAGTCCATTTTGCTTTTCATTATTTTTCGAGTTATATTTGCCCTGGGGGTTGAACAGATTTCTTACCATTTTGAACAATTCAGCACTTGCACTCAAGAGAAAAAAGGGAAATACCCTCCTGTGTTAATAGCTCTGAATTCCCTGGGCTCTGTGCTGATGGGTGATGACTGAAGAGCTCAGATTTAGGGGGTTTTGGTCAGCTGGATACTCTCACTTTCTGGATATGCTTTTTCTTCATGATATAAAAGCTGCCTCAAGGTCACTAGGGCTGGAGCCTGATCCTGCTGCCTTTATGCCTGTACACTGGGCAGATTGGAAATACCTTCCTACCTGTGGCAAGACCTGTGCTGGCCACTGCCAGCAGTGCTACAGCCCTTCCTTCTGGAGCCTCCCCACCACCCACATGTGCTGTTCAAGGCTGGGCACACATAATGTCACAGAATCCTGTGCTGTAAGGCCTCTGAAATTTAGACTTACACAGGAGACATCTCCTTGTATCTCTTTGAAACTGCCTGAGATCCTGCAGTGCAGTTTTGTAGAGGATATCAAACCCACTGTGCTTTCCTTGGTTAGGGAGTCAACAAATGTAATTTTAGTAGTTTGTGTTCAATGAAGACATATTCCTGTTTTTTAACACTGAAGAGAGATTTTCTTATTGCCTTGGGAACAAACCTGTGTTTAGTTTCAACAATTCCACACTAGGAGAGTGGATACAAACATGTTGCCAGGCAAGAAGCAGAAAGATAAGTGGGGAGATTTGGTTTTAAGTCTTCAGCAGACCTTAGGCTAGAAGTCTGTCCTACTCAGTCTGATTACCCTAAGCTTTTGTAAAGCACTTCAGGTTTTCAAAGTGCTGCCCAAACTATGATGCATAAATCACTGATAGAGCCATGCAAAATGCTCACCAGATTATGCGTCTAATTTGAGCTCAGGGTTATCATGCCTGTGCTCATCGACTGATTAGCTGCACATGCAAATGCCATTGTATGGATGCCATTGCCAATCAGCTGCAGCAGGTAGGATAACAGTGAACAATGCCTATTTTCTTTGAAGGTCTCAGCTGCCTGGCTCTCCTTTGGCTCCCTGCTGCCTTCACCAGGGCAGAGCAAGGTGGGGTGAATGGGGGGACTTGCCTGGTCATCCAGGGGCAGCTCACAGAAGGCAGGGATGTACTTGGCCCACTCCACCAGCACCAGCAGCTGCTGTTTCATGGACTCGCACACGTCAGAGATATTGGCAATCTTCTTCCCTCGGATGTCTCCATTGATCACAGGAACTGGGGATGATATCTGGAGGGAGAGAAGAGATCCTTCAGCTTTCAGAGGAAAAATAGACACCTTGGGTGTGCTGATGCAGACTCCTGCATCAGTGATTACTTTTTCCTGTTACACACGCAGCCCCCAGAGTATGTGGCCCAGCACAACTCATTTAAATTGAGATCAGCTTGAGGATCTGTGAACATGAAACACTTTAGAGCTGACACTGTGGATCATCTTGATAAACTGTCATGCCTGAAAAACACAGAAGAAATGTTTTTAAAGCCAAGATCTTCCTCCCACTGAACAAATGTGCTCAGTCAAGATCCAGGAGGCAACAGAGGGGCTAGTGTAGCAGTCAGCTTCACCAGGAGCACATCCACCCAGTGCTGCTGCACAAGATACTTGGTCCCACCAAAGGGCAGAGAACTGCTCCCCTTTCCACCCTGCTCTGAAGCCAGTGCTTGGCCAGACGTGCCTTGTCTGCTTTTGACAGAAGACATGCAGGCTCTAGTTATCCTCCTGTCTGAGGCACTGTGAACACAAGAAGTCTCTGCTGCAGGTAGCTTTCCAGGTCTGACATTGCTTTCTTCTTCACCATTGCATTTAATGGTGAGCACCATTCATATTTGACATTACCCACTTCGAAATGCTAGAGTTTGAAGTAAAAAATCTCCTAACCATTCCCAAATGGCAAAGCTGTGTATGTGCAAATGTGTCCACAGGACAGGTTGCAATTTTTGCATGGTGAATTATTTATGATTGCAAAGGCAAGTGGGGCCATTTCATTTGCGAAAGACAAGCCTGACAACTCTGCAAGTACTATCACATGGAGCTGGAGAGCACATTTCCCCCAAACCAGGCACCCAACTTCCTGCCCAGTTCTCATGCATAGCTACTCACCCAGCTCATCTAAAAATTTGCCCTTAGTCACTACTTTATCCTCATGCTTCTGTAAGCAATTAACTCAAGCCCATCGCTGCCCTCTGCCTGCCCTCTCTGCTCTTCTACAACATCAGCTTTTCCTGTCCTGTTCCTGCCAGCATTTGCAGCTTGGACCCTGCCAGCCTCCCCAAGGAAATGGAGTTCAAATGCCACCTACTTTTTTTTTCAGGTTGCAGTACCTGGAAGCTTTCCAGCTCTCAAGCTATTATTGAATAAATAAGATTGTAAAAATCTCACCATGTATTACCCTAATCAGGGAGCCCGGAAGGCTTAGCAAATAAATAAAGACCTCTGAGTGAGTGACCCGAGATCTTGGAGAAAGCAGCTCCTCAGCAGTATCTTGTTCTAATTAGCTAGGCACAAAAAAGTTACCAATTACTGTGCTGGAGCCTGCCTTGTTTAATGAGTCTCCCTGTGCTCTGTGGGAGAGCAAGAGCTCCCCTGGATTTGTCGATGGTTGTAGTTTTTATCAGCAGACCCTGCTTAATTTACACATGATGCCACTGCAGGACTCAGAGTCCCGGAAATGTCCTTCACTTGTAGATCTGGTGACTTGAGATCCCATTATCTCACACCTCTGGGAGCAGCACCAATCTTATTTTTATGGGGTATATAAATATATGAGGGCCTGCGTAAGACAAGGTGAGATGTAGGATGAGATTGGAGGTGCTTCTTGTGCACAGGATTGGCCATGGCACTTCTGACACATCCTTTCCTTGAGGAAGTGGACCTTACAGCCTGAGCCCTAGTGTGGAGCCCAGAGCATGGCACATCCTGGCCTGGAGCATCTCCCTGGACAGCATCTCCCTTCAGGGTAATGTGACCCTTGAAGCAAGGCAGATCATGGACTGTCAACTCGAATCCCTCATCATTTTTCCTGGGACAAGGAGTGCTGCTCTCCTCAGCTCCCTTGAAGAGTGGCAGCTCTTGCCTCCAGCACAGCCCCATCCTCATCACTTGTTCTCACAGACAAACCCTCCCCACAGACTTTGTGCTCCCCTCCCATCCTGTCCCCTCCCAGACAGTGCTGATCTGATGGACACCATTTGCAATATCCAGATTCTTAACTCAGAGTCATCTTTTCAGGTGAATGCTGTAGGAAACAAGCCTTGGCAGTCTGCTGGTGAAATGGGGAGTTTCCAGCAAACACTGGAAAGAGTAACTGTATAAAACAAACCTGAAAGTGATTCCTTGTGAAACTGTGCAGGAAGCCAGAATCCAAAGTTCCTAACTTTGGGCAAAGGAGGCTGCTTGTGTGAGGCCAGCCCCTTAGCTGGCTTAGGCAGCCACAGCTCCTTGGGTTGGTTGTACCCTGTTTTCTTCAGCTGGCTTTCCAGCCTTCATGTGTCCCATCAAAGCAGAACTGAATGTTGCATATTAATACAGTTGAGTTCTGGACCAAGGAGGGATGGTTTCAGGTAACAAATGCCTTTGAAAAACCAGTGTTGACTTGGCAGAGAAGTTACTTATAAAAGAGGTGGTAATTTGAAGACTCAGTTGTTAAATACTCTGGCTCTACTGGCCAAATTGCATGATGTGCCTGATGCTTTTGGATTTCCCAGAAAAGAAGGAAGAGGTACCTGTTGTGCCAGGACTTCTGCCTGCAGTAAGACATTGATGGAGGGCAAGCTGCTGTCTTCATAACTTGATCTCCGGGTGCTGATTCGGTCCCGTTCATTTTGTACAGCTGCAAGAGAGTATTTTTGGCTGAGCTGCAGGTCGTTCGTGGCAATGCAGCCTGAAAGCTAGCACAGACTTTTAGCATTCCCCTTCCCTAGCTGCAGTTTCCCAGCTTCCCTCCCTGGCAGGGGTGCAACTGTGTCTGGTTTGTGGTGGGATGCCTGTGGAGATGACTACATCTGGCTGTGCTGTTTGCACATTTGTTTTATTAGGCTTTCCTAGGATGGGGTCTTTTCAGAACCCAAATACCTGGTTCAAAGCCTGTAGAGTTAAATGGGAAAGTTTCCTTTCAAAGGCTCTAGCACAAAGTTTTTTTGTCAAGAGATGGGATCTGAAACAGTGGCTGTGCTTACATATGCCGCCCAAAGCTTATGTGTGAAATGGAGGAGTTGAGTATCTGCCTGGCTGCTTTGTCCACAGCACTTCTGTGAGCTCCTCTGGAGAAGCTCTTGCACTGGGTACGTGCAGCTGGAGAACTTCTGTCTAAGCTACAATAAGGAAGGAAGTGCAGAACAGCTCCTGCTTATCTCTCCAGAGCAACAGAGCTCTCTCATGCCTTATTGCCAGGAGACTCAGAACAGATTTGACCCCAACATGCCTCCCTGCTTGGTGTAGCCTGGAGGAGCTGGGCTTTGAGTCTCGAGGTGGCAGCAGCCAGAGCAGAAGCAGTAGTGCTGAGGGGGAGGATCTGCCTCTCCCTGCCATGAGGCTCTGGGCTGGCCATAACTCACCACGGCCATGCCAGTCAAAGCCATCTGCTCAAATAAGGTATTGATCGATGGCAGTGGAAACAGAACAGTCCCTGCCTTAGGCTGGTGGCTCTCTGGATTGATACCTTCTCAATGTATAAATCCACCTGATAAAAAGCAATAATGAGGCTGGGCCAGAAGAAAAGCCCTGCAGTCAGCGGCTGTAAACAGGAGCTCTCAAGGTTATGCTGCTTGTTATCAGTAGCAGGCCCCCGAGTTCAGTCACGCCATGATGTTTTCCAAATGTTTGCTCAGTATTAGCTGGTCATGCACCTAATGTAACTTCTATTGAATATTAACAGACAGCAGCAAAGCTCTGGGCATGGGATGAGCAGGCGCTACAGGGAGAGGAGGATTCCTATGTTCTTCAGGAAAAGCCAAGCCAAGTTCCTTGCAATACCTTATCCCCTTTAACAGGGGAGAAATGTTCCTGCTCAGAGGTGTTCCTGCAGGCTGGTGTTGCTAGGGAAGCCACCCAGGTACCACTGGTACCTCCCTGTTGTCTTCAAGGACCCTTTTTCTCCTAAGTTTCTCCTTGAAGGGGTTTGAATTGGGAGGAGCACAGAGTTTAATTTCTCTGCAAAGGAACAACAGGGCCAAATGTCTCCTGGTTGTCCCTTTGCAGACATCTGTGGGGTGAACTCTGAGAGGTGCCAGGCAGCTTCTCTGGGCTGCTCCTGGCAGTTTGTCCCTGGACCAACAGGGCCACCTGTGGGGCCACCAGCAGGACCACAGCAGCCCCAGGTTTCTTTGCCATTGTGAGCGCTCCTGACAACCAAGCAGGGAGGAACAGGGTGAGTCCTGTCATGTCTGAGTCATGGGCACCTGGAAGGGCTGCAGAGACAGGGAGGCAGGGAAGTGGTGGGGTAGGCCTGGGCGATGCAGAGGGTTGGGTATCTTTACTCATTTTATATGGAGTTAAATAACCAAAATGTTCCATCTTGCTCTGGGACCTTTTTGCCATGGCTGATCTATCAGATAAAACTAAGCTCTCTGCAGAGGATCAGCAAGAACTCATATGCCCATTAGGAAAAAAAGGGGCAAAATGACAGTTGGACCTTTGCTGGTCTCACCCAGCCAGCTGTAGATTTCATAGTGACTCTGAGGCAACAGCACTTACAGCACTTTTCCCCAAGTGTTTCCAAAATGTGCAGGGCGTCTTTGGAGTTTCTGCTTCTCACTGATGTTGAGAAGTGTTCCCAGATCACTTAGGTGCCCCAGCTATGTGGGAGCTCAGGTGCTGTGTGTGTCAGTGTGAGCTAGTGAGCTCAGCAGCCCCTGCTGCAATTTGTGTGGCAATTTTGGGACACCAGCATGGCCCTGTGGGACTCTCGTGGACTTGTCTTTGCTGGTATTTTGAGAGGTGCCCTAAGAAGGGGCCCTGAATTGAATTTGGAAGCACACAGGCCACCCCCTCCCCAGCCATGCCTTGCCTCAAAACCCTCCCTACACCCCCTGTGAGGGGGTCTGGGTCTGTGCAGGAGAGCACTGTGGAGGGGAGCCCGGCTGGTTAGGTGAGCATGTACACAGCAGGGACTGGCCTTGGGCTGCCAGGGCTTCCACAAACAGCCAGTGTGACTGCTGCTGCTGCCAGGGGGAGTGCGGGGAAGCCGTGCCAGCACCCACCTTCCTTCTTCATTCCTGCCCGGAAGCACTTCTTAAGCCTGCAGTATCGGCACTGGTTCCTTTTGTCTTTGTCTACCACACACTGCCTGTTAAACCTGGGAAGAAACAGAGGTGTGAGGAGCAGCAAGACTGAGCCTGAAGGCAGGACAAGACAGTCTCAAACTCTGAGATACTCTCAGAGCAGATTCCTGAGGCTGACCCTGAGAAAGGAGCCCCAGTTTGTGCCATTTTCACCCTTGCTTTAACCTGAGGTTTCTTCTTTGCACTGAACACCTCAATACCTTGTTTTACTTCTGGATGGTTAGTAAGGATGGGCCAGAGCTGACAGTCACATGCAGGAGCTCAGGCTAACCACTAGGATGCTTGTGATGGACTAACAGAGTGGAGCTAGAAGTGTGAGCCAGGAGGGTCAGAGTCACCTTGGTAGCCTCTGTTTTAACTTAGATCCCAGTGAGAAGACAGGAAGAATGCATTTATTCTGGATTTTTAAAAAGGGTAGAAGGTTGTTCTGGAGCTAGTAAGGTTAAGAAGTGGGTTTAAGTTCCTGCATCTCTCCAGGGCTTGCTTCTTATCTCTGGACAGCATCACTGGTGTGTGAACAGCTCTGCAGCCTTAGAGAGGCCTTGAGAAGCAACTGGCTCCTTCCCTCCACATTTGTGTCACCAAATCCATCACACATAGCAGGGCAAGCAATGGTCTCCCATGGATGTGGCTCTTGCATGCAGCACAAGCCTGGTAGCCATTTGCAGCATGAATTTCACTTGCAAATTTGCTCTAATTTACTGCCGATTGAAGCTTGTAAAGTAAGGACAAAGGCATACAGAGCTGGGGAAGGGCTCCCAGCCGTGGCCACTTCTGGAGCTTTTGAAACCCCTTGTTTCTATTGTACTTTTTAAAGCCCCAAGCTAAGATTTCGTCAAATGGATGCCTGAAAGCAGCTTTTTAAGCATTTATGTGACACTTATATAAAAGTCTTGGTCTCCAAAGAGCTGGGCACTTTGGCTTTTCCCACTGGAGCTGTGGGGAGTGGGCTCCCTGGACAGCCAGCCTCAGTAACCCTGGGATGCAAGCAATCATCTGCTTTGTAGGCACTCTTGAGCCTAGGGCTTCCTTCTGTCACTCAGAATTGAGAGTCATGTTGCTGTTCACATTCCCTGAGTGGCTGTCAGGCCATGAGGGGTAAGTCACTCAAAAAGACCAAGTGACACTGAGCTGAGAACTTCTTGGTTTTCCTCCTCCACTCTCTGTGTCTCAGTCACTCAGGGAGCAGGCAGGTCACAGCTGCTGAGGGCACAGGAGAGCCATGGGCTGCCACCACCAGCACGAGGTGCAGTGTGTGAGTTGTAGGAGCCACGCTCAGAGACATGCACACTGTGCTGCCCAGCTTGTGTCCTTGGATGGTCTTTTGTCATGGAACAGCATTTTAGATAGATGGCAGACACACTCCCATCTTGTGTTGGAGAGGGATGAGAGGCCACTGAAGTACCCCCAGGGGGTCTCTGGGGTTTGTGCTGCTCTCCAAGCACAGAGTAACAAGGGGCTACGCCCTTCTAACAAAGTTTCCCCTGAGCATCACCTTGCTTGCTGGTTGCACCCATGGTTGGCCACATCCATTTGCAAAGAACTTGTGGTGCGCCTGTAAAGAACAGGGTAAGACTCCCCAGGTTATTTAACCAGGGATCACTGCAAGGCAGTCCCAGAGTGAGGACTGTCTCTGACCCTTCCCAGCTGGGGGTGTGAGATCAGGGGAGACGATGGAGGATGCAGGGAGAATGAAGGACCATGCTGCTGTGCCTGAGGGCTCTACCAGAGATTGTTTTGTCTCAGCCACGTGCCTCTGTCCCCTCTGTCCTTACCTGCAGGAGTACATGTGGTTCTTCCGGACACTCCTCCTGAAGAAGCCTTTGCAGCCATCACAGCTGGAAGCCCCGTAGTGCTTCCCCGTGGCGCGGTCCCCGCAGATGGCGCAGAGCGCGCTCACCCCGATGCTGTTGGAACTGTTGAGGTTGGCTGCTTCTGATGGAGACGTGTCTGCTTGGGGAAGGAAGACACAAGGAGAAGAGGACAGTGAGACAGACAGCCGACATTTCCTAACTCCTTTTCCAGTGAGAGAGTTGATTTTCGGAGGAACCAGACAGCTGCGCCCAGGCTGCGCGGCAGAGGCCGGTCAGAGAGGTGTGTGAGGAGTGGTGGGTGCTCCAAGTGTCTTAAGTCATTGCATTTTGAGTTTGCAAAAGCTCCCCGTGTGCCAGGGTGAAACAGCTCTTTCCAAAGGCTTGACTCCAGCCACACCTTCAGACAAAGTGAAAACCCATTTGCAGGAGTCATAGCACAGAGCCAAAATTCCTCAGGGATTTGCAGACACTTTGGCCTGCAGTAGCATGGCCAGACAAAAACCTGGTGCAGAGTTAAAGCTGAAGTATTACAGCTCAGGGTGAGCAACTATTTGTGTTATAGCCCTGAAAAAGCCCAAGAGAGTGCTGAGCAGATGCTATTAGAGAAACAAGGTGACCACCTCCCTTTGCTGGAAAGGCTTTCTGCCAGGCATGGAGCTTCAGCCTCTGTGACAGTTCTTTGGGAGGGTAAAACTTCTAAGTGCAAAAAAACCTCAAATTACTTCAGCTAGAAAACTCAGCTAAGCAAACACCCCCCATGCAAGGAAAGACTGATCAAGCTAACCCAGAAAAAAAGGGTGATGTATAGCCTGGGGGAGCCTGTACACTGGTTATCTTCCAGACTCATGGCTGACACCGACGTGTCTTACAGCCCTTACAGACCAAGGGAGCTGGGATTTGCAGGACTATTTTGGGAGCACAAGGAATTGCAGCACGCTCTGTAGGAAAGGACATCAGAAAGGATCACAACCATACAAGCCCTACACTAAAACCCTTCCAGCAAGCCAAACAAACCTCAAGGCTGAAGGGATCAGCCCTTAATTCAGTTGATCTAATTGTCCCCCCTATACACATTTTCCTGTCTCAGCATGGGCCACATTCCTCTGCCTCAGTGGAAATCCTGGCTGTAGATGATACCCAGGATCTCAAAGCCATAGAAACCTGCTGGGATTTTAATAGGAGAGTCTGTTGGTCCCTGGTTTCTGGGTTTGGCAGGGACACAGTTAACTCTTGCTCAGGAAGGGTCACAGCTGCTCCCACTTGGCACCCAGCAGAAAGGGGGCTGGGTGCTATAAAAAGGCTGGTCCAAGCAGAGTTCTCTTTGGTAGCTGGAGCAAGGGTGGTGGGGGAGGCCAAGGTAATGCTGCCTGGGGCAGGGCTTCAATTTTAGCCTTTATTTTGAAGAGAGAGGGGTGTTGCAGCAGGTGCCTCGCGGCGTCCTCCTGCCATCCCTTGGCACAAGTAACCGGGAGTGGATCTTGTGATCTCCAGCAGTGAGCTGAGTCAGCCCTTCCCTACCTTTGGCAGCAGCGTTCATTTCCCTGCCTGCTTTCTGTCTTTCTAATTCCTTGTGTTCCTCCTATATTGCTTTCCTGAGTCAGTTTGCTGCCTCTGTGCTCTTGGCTGGCACACCCTGTCATGTATTGCACTCTGTGCGTGCGGTGCTGCCTGTGCAAAGCACCTTTCTGCTCCCAAAGCCCTGAGCTCCTCCCAAGCCTGCCCTGCCTGTCTCTCATCCCTGCAAGCAGATTACCTCCAAAAACATCCTGCCTCCAAAAAACATCCTGCCTCCAAACACGTCCCGAAGGCTCGACTGGATGAAGGTTGTTCCAGAAGGCAAGTTAGACATCCAGTTTCAGCTAAACACAGGTGTTACACCAGAGAGGAAGAGCTGACCTGCCTGTAATGATGTTACTTGTCTGTCACAGCCCAGATTAATCCCATTTTTTAGCAGTATATCATGCTGCAATCAGATGAATGTAGAACAGAAAAAACTGGCACCATTATCAAAGAAATTACAACATCTCAGCTTAACAGCCAGCTGAAAATTAAGTTATTGCCTAATGGATAATTTTCCAATTAAGTTTATTTTGTAGTGCCAGAAGTGTGGGCTTCTGGCTGCTGCAGTGAAGTGGGTTTAATGGGATTGATTTGGAGATAAAGTAAATAGAGGAAAGAAGAGATTCTACTTAAAAATTGAGATGTCACAGTAGAGACTCATGCTAAGGAAGCCAGAAGCTCCTCAAGAGGTCTCCAAGCCTGTCTGAACATGGGATGCATTTGGTCTGTGACAATGGCAGATGTGGTCACTGCTGAGCAGCCACCTCTGGGCTGGAGCTGTGCAGGGCAGGGCCTGAGCTCTCCTGCAGTCCTTGGCCAGAAAAGGTGGTGGGGATTTTGCAGGCAGGGTTTTGCAGGCAGAGGTTTAGGCAGCTGCCAGAGTGCCAAAGCAGCCCTGGAGGTGGGACCTGCCCCTGGTCTGAAGCTGGGCAGAGGAGGAGGAGAGGTGTTGGTGCTGCCTGACTCAGCTGTCTCACCCACCTCTATTTTGTATTGCTTCTGATGGTGACATACAAGATTATTGTGTCCCTCTGCCTTGTGGAGCCCCCAGCCTGGGGGGGCAAATCACAGCCACCTGTGCAGAAGCTTCTGCATGGGAGATGGGCATGGAGTGGGGGCAGGACCTGGGCTTGTCCTGGAGGGTCCAGATGGGTGTCAGCAGAGCTGAAGGGGGCTGCTCTTATCCCCCAGCCCCTGGGCAGGCAGGGCCAGCCTGGAGATTGGAGAAGGGCAGAGAGGCAGGGCAGCAAGGGGGTTATTGCACAGCAGAGCCACTTTGGTACCATGGTGTCACTTCTGTGACAGGCCAGAACCAGAACCTGGGAAAGACTCACATGGGCTGTGAGGGGAGAACCCACACTGCCAGCACAGTCCTCCCAGGACAGGGGTGCAGCAGTCAGGAGGAAAGGGCTTGGGGGAGCTCATTTCTGCTGTGTGTTTCGTTTAGTCATTAACCCTGTATTTAGAGAGACTTTAGGGGGGACTTGGAGAGGAATCTCCTGTTATCTCTAAGCACTGAATCACCAGGTCCCCAAATGGGTGGGCCAGCATCGCAAATCCTGGTGGGTTAAGTGTGATCTCACCTCCTGAGGGGATGGGAACACTTGTCTATCCTCGCCAGGTCCCCTTGCCCCTCTTCCCGGGACTGGGAGTTGTGCTCCTAGGAAAGGGGATCCCACCCTGCACCCCAGCACTGCATGGCAAAGGGTTGTAGCCTCGGGGCAGCTGCAGGGGCAGCACATGAATTGCGTTTCATAGTGATTTCCATCCTTGCCAGGTACTAAGTGGCTGCTGCTGGGATGGGACTGGCTCATGGCTCTGGAGCCAAGAGCCCAGTCATCTGTCCAGGGAGCTGTCAGCAGAGTTTCACTCAGAAACTTTTGGCTGGTCATTTCTCTTGGTTGGGGTCAGGGGGTGGTGAGACCCCCCACCCATGGTCTGTCCCAGCCCTCTCCCTGGGCTCAATGCCGAGGGAGGGCCCCCTTGTTGCTCCTGCTGTGCCTGTCCCCGAGGTGTCAGGGCTGCAGGGCACCATCCTGCACAGCATTGCTCCACCACCTCTATTTCTCCCCAAAGGAAGCAGAAACCCCTCAACGAGCTGCCGGGAGCCCCCCTGACTGGCACCCCTGCCATTCCTCAGCCCTCCCGGGGAGCGTTTTTGACGCCCACCCTGGGGACTTCCCCTCCTGCAGCCCCCAGCCCATCCCACCACAGCGGAGGGAAGAGGACTTACCATTGCCCATGGCCAGCACCTGCATGTTCTCAAACTCCAGAGTGGTGTACGCCGGGTCTAGCGCTGCGCTATAATCTGCCATCTCCATGTCTATGAGGGCTTTGGAAAGGCGCATTATCATCAGCAAACACGGGCCAGATTGTACCGATTCCCTGGTCCGGGGCTATTGGCCCTTCTTCCTCCCTCTGCCTTCTCTGCGTCCCCTATCTGTTGTCTTCTATTTCAAATATTTCTCTGAAAGGATTTGCTGAGCCTCAAGGCCTATACTCCCCAGAGGGGTGGAGGCAGGAGGCAGGGGGTTAATCTTTAATCATCTCACCCACTGCCGAACGCTGCTAAGCTGTTGGTTTGTGGTTTTTTTTTTTTTGGTGGAGCAGCAGTGATTCTTGTTGACTGTTTATTGTTGAATCTGGAGGCTCTTGGCCGAGCCTGGCTCTGGGTGCAGGCAGGGCCATGGGAGCAGGAGCTCACCAATGAGGGAACACCTTCCTGGGCTGTTGACCTTGATGTTGGGCTGCTGGTGTTGGTCTTACTTGTTGTACCTGGGGTGGAAAGCTTGGAAAAAACCCTGCTGGGAGAACAAGGTTGCTCTTTGCCTTCTCCCCTCCACTGTTGGTTGCCTTCTCCCCACAATTTTCCCTTCTCTTGCTCCCTCCACCCCTCCCACACTTCTTCCCCCTCCCGGGGAGCGTTTTTGACTCCCACCCTGGGGACTTCCCCTCCTGCAGCCCCCAGCCCATCCCACCACAGCGGAGGGAAGAGGACTTACCATTGCCCATGGCCAGCACCTGCATGTTCTCAAACTCCAGAGTGGTGTACGCCGGGTCTAGCGCTGCGCTATAATCTGCCATCTCCATGTCTATGAGGGCTTTGGAAAGGCGCATTATCATCAGCAAACACGGGCCAGATTGTACCGATTCCCTGGTCCGGGGCTATTGGCCCTTCTTCCTCCCTCTGCCTTCTCTGCGTCCCCTATCTGTTGTCTTCTATTTCAAATATTTCTCTGAAAGGATTTGCTGAGCCTCAAGGCCTATACTCCCCAGAGGGGTGGAGGCAGGAGGCAGGGGGTTAATCTTTAATCATCTCACCCACTGCCGAACGCTGCTAAGCTGTTGGTTTGTGGTTTTTTTTTTTTTGGTGGAGCAGCAGTGATTCTTGTTGACTGTTTATTGTTGAATCTGGAGGCTCTTGGCCGAGCCTGGCTCTGGGTGCAGGCAGGGCCATGGGAGCAGGAGCTCACCAATGAGGGAACACCTTCCTGGGCTGTTGACCTTGATGTTGGGCTGCTGGTGTTGGTCTTACTTGTTGTACCTGGGGTGGAAAGCTTGGAAAAAACCCTGATGGGAGAACAAGGTTGCTCTTTGCCTTCTCCCCTCCACTGTTGGTTGCCTTCTCCCCACAATTTTCCCTTCTCTTGCTCCCTCCACCCCTCCCACACTTCTTCCTTTTCCTCCCCTCCTGTCAGAGGTCAGTGCCTGACTGGCTACTTACAGGTTGCTACACAAAGTAGCAACATACAACTCCTTTACTTCCCCATAAACTCAGTTTTACAGGATCCCACTCTGCAGCTGTGCTCAAACAGGGACCAGAGTGAGCAACAGAGCTGCCCATGCTCTCCTCTTTGCTAACCTGGGTGCTCTGCCTCCCAGCTGACCCTGGGCACATCATCCCTCCACTTTAGACAGGATCAAGAAGTTTCAGTGTAATTCCAAGATCAGTGACTAGGAATTTGATTCCTGAATGGCATTGGCTGGATGGTGCAGGAGACCCAGCCATTAATGGTTCAGCATCAGCAGCTTTGCATTAAAAACATCCCCATGATTTCACAACCAGCAGCCAGTGGCTGAGTCCACAAGCTGCTGATCTGGGCTCCCAGATAGTTTGTATTTTTGCTTCCCAGGCACCTCAATTCAGCCCTGGCTCCACTGGTGCCCTGAGCCACCCTGACCATGGTGGCATTGCTGCCACAACGTGGCACCAAGGTCACTGGCTCCACAACAGCATGTGCCTTTGGGCAGTGGTGCCAGCAGTGATTTCGGAAGCACAGGGGATTATTCAAGCAGCCCTTGCCACCCAAAACTATGACCAACAAAGCACTTCCAACCACTACCACTACACTAAGGTATGCAGGAGCAAAGCTGAGCACAGGGGACAGGCCCTGCACTCTCATTTGGAACCGGTAAAGGGTCCTTTGCTGCAGGGACAATTGTCATCCCATCTGTGCCCCTGAGAGAAAGGCCAGAGCTCTCTGCACTCATGTGCCAGTGGCTCTTCCCTTTGGCAGCAGCAGCCCTGAGCCAAAAAAATGGTTTAATCATGTGCACACTGGGATGGGGATGCTAAGGGAGAGCATAGCCCCCTTTGTGGCCTTGTCCCAGGGATCTCCATCCCAATCCTGGCCAGGCCACAGTGATCCCTTTGATTAGATAAAATGCTACAGACACCAGGTCAAATATGTGCAGGATTTGCCACAGGGTCTAGTAAAAGATTGTAAAGGCGCGACCCATTCTGCTCTGCTCAGCAAAACACACCGTGTGCTTCAATAGCCTGCTGAGCAAGGAAGGCTGCAAAGGCTGTTTGCTCCCTGGACAGGAAGGATTAGTAGGGCCAGGAATAGACATTGGAGAGGCAGCACGTGTGGGAGAGCAGCAGATAAGGAACGGGGAAGTTTGGAGAGCATTAGACAGCTCACAAGGCTGGGACTGTCAATGGGACGTGGCGCTTCCCACCCCAGGGTCGTGTTTACTGTCGTTTTCTTACTACCAGTGTCCTCTGTCTTGCCAGTGTCCCCTCCCAAATCCCTTCTCTGTGTGAAGGTGGAGAACCAAACCACCCAGGGACATCCCGTGCTTCCTTTGTGTCCAAGGCTTGTGCTGGAAATGCTCTGGCTGCTCCCCAGGCATGGCCTGCTGCAGGAGATGGATGTCTGCCCAGGGATGTGCAGCCTGGGGAGTCTTTGCTCCTTTCAACATCCCTGCGAGGTGGGTTTTGAGACAGCTTCCCAGTGTAGTCGTGGCCTGTATTAGCTAACAGGACCCTGCAGATGCTTTAGGTTGAAGATGTTCAAGTCAGCAGGAGGTTGTGGGGCTGATTCAAACACTTCTGACCTACAGAAGATGTTTTGGCATTTTTTTCCAGAGAGAGACAACTCGGAGCTGGCAAACCCCCACTGGTAGGCAAAGGCTGTTCCCAGAACAGATGCTCAGGGGAAGTTCAGCTTTCAGACCCTCTCCTCCTGTCCCCATTTTCTGTCTCTTCCACCCACTGTTTCCTACACCAGGAGATGACTGCAAAGGAGACCATGACAGCTCCAGGGCATGAAGTGTTCTGTGCCAAGTGATTCTTTATCTGTTGAGCAGTAAATCCTTTCCCACACTGACACATCATGACACTAATTCTGCCTTATCTGTATGTCACTGACTGGCAAATTAATCCAAATCAAAAGGGTGTTCCTTGAAAATAAAATCTGTGCTTCTCAGTAGATGAGGATCAGGGATAGGCTGTTTAATGGAGTGTTTATGATAGTGGTACTATCAGCTACCATGCTTGCTAGATCTTCAGGTCTAAGTGAGATTGAACAGGGTTTTTGTAAGATCAAAGAATAAGTGAGGTTTTGAGAGCAGCGTGGGTTGCTCAGGGCTTGGTCTTGTTGGGTCTTGAACTACTCCAAGGATGGAGATGGCCCAGCCTCTCAAAGCAACTGACGCTTGACTGTTCTCTTAGTGAGTAAGTTTCTTATACACTGAACCTTTTTCTAATTTTTATGCCCATCCATCTCCTCCTGCCATGCACCCTGTGAGAAGCCAAGCCCCATCTTCTCAGTGTCCTCTGTGGGATATACTGCTGAGGTTCCTGCTGAAGTTCCTGCTGGCCCATTTCTCCAGCCTGCCGTGGGGCTGGGTCCCTATCCTCCAGTCTATCAGCCAGAATCCCTGGTTTGGGGTCACCTGTGGACCTTCTGAGTGTGGACAGTGGTCAGGCTGGAGCCTGGGGCCCTCCTGCTCTTTGCTTTTCCCTCTCAGAGCTCTGCACTCTCAAGCAATCCCCAGCAGAAATGCCAGTGCCCAGAGCCCACAGGACCAACCTCGACTCACATCGGTGATGCCACTGCTGCCCTGACTCCAGATCCTTCCTACCATGTCACTCGCAGCTCCAAGGCCACTGCAGAGCTGGAGTAGCTTTTCCTTGGCATGCGAGTGAAGCAGAGATGGGCTCAGCTCTGCAACCTCCCCAGAGCAAGAAGTGCCTGAACGAGGTCGAGGCCCCTGCTCGGCCCAGCACCGTTTGGCCGAATGAGCGGCCGGGGAAGCCTGAAGCTGAATTACAGGGCAAAGAAGAAACATCCCAAGGGAACGTCACCAGCGTAGTCATCTCCACACATGCAAAGGTCCCTTCTGCCTTTTTTTTTTTTTCCCCTTTGAAATTTCAAATTCCAGTTTGTGGACAAAGTCCTGCCTATCTGAGAATATAGATCTCCGACCACTGACCAAACTCCACTCCAAGCAGTCCTGAGGGCTGCTCTTCCCTTGCCCATGGACACCTCTGCTCAGACCCTGGATCTGCCAGGATTGCACCCAAACTTTTGCACCAGAGCAGAGAGTTCCTCCTTGTACAAAGAGGATTTTGTGTGTTTCAACCTCGACATCAGCAGCTCCCTTTCTCCACATGGAATGGGAAGGACCATCAGGAATAACCAGGTAGGAGCCTTATCACCTGCAATGTCTTTGGGCAGCCATTGCAGATAGAAGATGAGGAGAAACAAGGGCTTCCATTGTGCTTATACCAGCAATTTTAGCTCATAATTTAAATTAGGAAAAGGGAGAGGGGGGGTGTGGAAAGACAGCTTCAAAACAGATGGAAAATGAGAGGAAACATGAAGGCAGATCCACTCTGTGTGGTTAACTGATAACTCCAATTTGCCTCTTCCCTCTCATCCTTTCTGATTCTCCCGATTAAGCTCAACTTATTCTCATGCTAATAATTTCTTGACCTGTTTATTCTGCATTAAAAAATTAACAGAGAGCAGTTTACTGCTTGACTTGCTCACACAGGACTGCTGCAGATTGGCAGGCAGGCTTGAAGCCTCCCTGCAGGACTTTTGGGTCTAGCAGCCAGTCTGCA